AAACACAGAGCTGTACTATTCGAACTAAGTGAAAAAAATTGGGTCTTTAGCACAAGCTGACAGTGCTGTTGATAAAGGTTCCACGTGCATGGGCATACCTTTTTATATATATTAATACTGCTACGTAACAAATACAGTTGTATCATCCCGTGGATATTTCCTCTCTTCCTGTTGTTTGCACTGAAGTGTAAAAGAGCGCATCGTCCGCGGCTAAATTTTCTCTGCGAGCAACTAGGCCAAACAGTTTCTGCGCTGATAAGTTAACGAGCATGATAGCTCTAGGGTAAGATTTACAATTTGCTGCAGAGTTTAGGTGTGCTGTGTAACAGATTAAACAATAAGATTTATATTGAAATAAAGAAGGGCAGAGCGACCAAAGAAAATAGCACACGGCATAGAAGAAAGTGTAAGTTAAACAAATTAATAAACCAGTTAAAGACAGCTATACAGCAAAGAAAGAGGTTCAGGTCACCACAAATTTATGCGTCAGTAATAAGAGCTCGAAAAGAGGCTAATAGCTGATAAAGGTTTCACACGTTACTCGTCTAAACCACACCTTATCAAGTAAAATATCCGATCTCTCAACCGAACCACATTGTTCTCTACCACAGGACACATCCAGGTGAAGCAATTCTCCCTTTACTGTTCATCTCAACCTTAAAACATCTGAAATCTCTTTGCATCCTAGTACGTACCATGCTGATCCGGCTTTTTATGTACCCCTGAATACTTTGGTTAACAATGAATCTATAAACGAAAAGACATTCCCTGCTAAACTACGTCTATTTCTGAAGATTTGAGACATGTCTTTCTGTATTACAATAAAACAGTTCCCTATAGTGGTTTGTCTGCGAGTAATATACGTGTTTGACAAATTATATTACATGAAACGTTTATTAGGATAGTGTGAATAATTGTGTATTTCAAATTGTTGTGCATGAGGACGACTTTGTAGAAGGTCAAGTGTAACAATATTTTTATAGACACGATGTCTTTTAGACTACCGTGTACATATTGTTACGTCTCCATTC